ACATTTGTTGCTATAAATACAAAGTCTCTATTAATAATAGGTTACAGAACTATGTAAAAACTTACAACATCCTAAGGGGTAAAACATCAGGTGAGATTTCTAAGCCAAAAGCACTTTGGGCAGAAAGCACACAAGTAAGCCAGTAAAGCACTCCAACATTAAATCTTGGCTTCCTTTGACGTCAGCCCCAGCAGACCAAGGCGAGTGACGACACAGGAGTCAGCACAAGAGGAAATGTGTGCCAGGTGGTGCCCAGCATCTTGGAAGCGCAAATTTAGCAGGTAACATAAAACTCCATAACTCTATCTTAAATGCTGGTATACAAATCACAATATATCTCTTCTCTTGAGAGTATGTATGCAGAGAAGTTCTTGAGAGCTTCTCAGAGTGTCAAAATAAGTTACAACCAACAATGACTGTTGAGTAGTGTTAAGCCTCTGCAGGATAAAATTAAACACAAAACAAAAAAAAAAAAAACATAGATAGAAAAAGCCTTTTTTGCTTGCTTTTTGACAATACTTTTAATTTCAAACTCAACAGGAAACAAGATAATCACAGGTAGCTGAACGTCAAGACAATTTCAAACCCATAAATAAATGTGATATTAACAAAGACCTCAGTGCTGATCAAACTGTATTTTCCTTCATAGTCTCTGCTTTCCTAATATATTCTGCATACATATATCTCAGAAGTCTTAGAGTGACAGAATTTTCTAAAAATGTTTTCAAGCATTTTTCCCCTCTGGCTATACAAATGAAAAAAGGAAAATGGAATGCTATGTAAAAATTATGTATCAATTGCAAAAAAAATAAGATAATGACCCAAAATTATTTCTTTTACTTACTTTTTAAAGTCTTAAATCTGAGTTTTAAATATGGAAAGCATATAACTTTTATCAGGACCAGTGACCCCACTGCAGGAATTCTCACTCAAAATCTAAAACTTTGGCGGGAGGTCACTAAACTATTCCTAGGGCACCCTTGTACTCTAAAAGCCTCTGTAAGCGATTAAAGTTCTAATTTGAATAATTACATTCCACCTACATAAATTCCCTCTGTAGTTTCAACTGTATGCAGTATCAGTCTTCATTTCCTGAATTAAATTGGTGTCGTGTATTGTGCTGCTTTAAAAAAAAAAAAAAAAAGAGTTTACTTTCGTAGGTAACCTTTCAGCAATCAGTAGAAGTGATTCATGTGCATGAGGGGAATAGATCACCATGAATAATCATTAACTAACAATTTGTGCCAGCATTTATTGTCTCGAGCATTGCAAAAGGGACATCTCATCTAATGAAATGAATATAGCTATACAGCTGTATAGAAATCAAATATTTTATAAACTAAGTCCTATTTTCCATTGAATTGTATCAATGCATCATTAGAAGCTCTATTTTCATTTATGGCTTGCCTTTAATTAGCTGATACTCCTCATGTTTGATAACTTCTACCTTTCTAGTCAAATACTTAATGAATTACAAATTAATATTGAAAATCCTAACGTTAAAAAAAAAAAAGAACCACTGAGTAGCGTTTAAAAAATAAGTATTTCTCGGCGGGTGCGGTGGCTCAAGCCTGTAATCCCAGCACTTTGGGAGGCCGAGGCGGGTCGATCACGAAGTCAAGAGATCGGGATTATCCTAGTCAACATGGTGAAACCACGTCTCTATTAAAAATACAAAAAATTAGCTGGGCATGGTGGCCTGTGCCTGTAATCCCAGCTACTCAGGAGGCTGAGGCAGGAGAATTGCCTGAACCCAGGAGGCGGAGGTTGCGGTGAGCCGAGATCATGCCATTGCACTCCAGCCTGGGTAACAAGAGCGAAACTCCGTCTCAAAAAAAAAAAAAGTATTTCTCATAAAGGGAGTCTTAAAAACATGCTTCCTCTTACGACAAACCAACAGAATTTTTGAAAGACCAAAAAATAATTCTTACAATAAAATGTGTTACTCAAAGTGAATTTCCAGTGTTACCATAATAGTATTTATTCAATAAGCCCAAAGGACTAGTATTACATGTCCCTTTAATGAGATTTGATCTTTGAATCCTTGGAATTTTTTTAAATAATGTGTCTACAAGTTGCTGAGTGACCTTCAAGAGTGGCTTTTCCCAGAATCAAGAAAAGCAGCTATGTTCTTTGCAGGATGCTCAGGGACTTCCAGAGATTTCCACACCATGCCAGCTATTTCAGTCCTTGAGTCATCAGGTAAATTTAAAGAGAAGAATTTATCCCAATTGTCAAAAATTGTGTTGAACCCCATGACCTAGGCATGTTCAGTTCATCAAAGCTGTATAGTAGCAAAGATGTCTTCAAATATGTTGAATTAGTTAATCCTTAAATCTCATTATTGTAATTTCTGCTCTTAATTAAAAGTAAGATTTACTGGTATTTAATGAAACTGTAAATTAAATTATCTGTTACACCTAGAGTTGGTCTCAAATTCATAAAATATAGACTTAATTGCAAAAACATATTTTCCTTTCTTCCTAGAATTCCATTCTACTTGGATTCTGAAAATAGCATCCTCCTTCCTCTAGGAAATGTCACCTGTACTCCATCCCCAATTCCCTCAGAACAATGTGATTCAAAGAGATTTGTCATTTTCCTACAGATCACTTGGTCTAGCCACAAGCTTGGGGTGTGGACTTGTTCAAAGCTGGACCAATCACAGTTTCCCATCCTGGTGGCCAAAGTTGATCTGTATAGTTGTATGGACCAGGGCATGTGACCCAAGCTTAATAAATCACAGTCCTTCCCCAAGATATTTCAAACTGAAACTAAGGCAGTAGGAGCAATCTCTCTCAGGCAGTGAAGAAACTAAGCATGCAAGCTGTCAGTGGCCATGTGCCCTGCTATACAGAGAAAGCTGGTCTGAGAGAACTAAGCCAAGATGCAGAGCAGAACTTAGAAAGAAGACAGAGCACTCTGGAGGCATTCAAGACCTGGCTCTAGTTGTCCCTGACAACTGCCTCACTCCTACCTTCCTTGTGTATATAGAATAAGCTTTTCAATAAATTTCCTTTATACCAAAGTTAATTCAAACTATTTTCCTAATACAAGTAGCCAAGGAAACTCTACATAACATACCAAACAAATTCTAACATAATAAGTTTCACTTCTTAGGGGTAGGGCCTAAGAATACTGCAAAAAATTCAAATACCTCTGCAAATTCAAATATATTTTATATAGATATAAATATATATTCTATATAAATATATTTTATATAGATATAGAATATATCCAGTATTCTAATGCGAACCTGGCTTTAGTCCATGAACTGACATTTACGAATAACTGGATTTAACACTTTCTTCACTGCCTTCTTCCATAAGGGAAAAACCTTGTCCTTCCACAAGACAGTCAAGGCCTGAACCTTACGTTTTATAATGAATTTCTCTGGCTCTCAGCACAAGCCATGAACATAGATGTTCAGTAGGAATATACTGAGCTAAAAATATGAAGACTGGGATATTATGATTGCCACATGATCCTCTGGAATATCATCAGATCCAAAGTAAGAAGATTTTGTGTTCTGGAAAATTCATTCTTAGAAGAGTGATAGTTATACAGCAAGACAGCAGTAACAAAATCAGGGGAAAAAAATCATTATTAACTGGATTATTTGTTACCAAATGATACATGCCTGTGGATAGATTTAAAAAGGAATGTGGGTGGCTGTGAAGAAGGCATTTTTAATCTGAAGTGAAGACTCTGACTCCAAAGCTCAGCAAAGAAAGTCCACGTTTCCCTAAAGATTGGATCTAAGACAAGCGTGCTAGGAATTCCAGATTAAAGAGTCAACAAGTGTAAAATACATTATATATTAAACGTATTAAAGTACATTTAAAGCCTTAAGCCTGCAAATCTCCCTTTCTATGTTTACTGTACTCCTACATTAAAATATTTTTGCATTCAAAGTAAGTGACCAGTTTGCTTTGGGCTGGTGCTATGGAAAGAACCTGAAAGACAAGGGTTGAGATGAAAATCTGCCCAAGAGAAGGCCAGCTCAAATGATGGAAGTGGAATAAAAAAGCAGTCCTGCTTTAAAAATTTAGCTTCTCCCAAGAAGCTAAAGGATTCCCTGACCTTCTTCATCTCACTGACTACCAGAATTCAGGGAGAATTTCAATACCATAATTATAATAAATAAAGCAAACTAATTCTAACTCCTTAAAGCTAATACCTATGCCCTTAACTAGTTCTAACTAAAACAAAAAGAAAAAAAAAAAAAAAACTAAGCCTGGTTATTCTCTGTAAAATTTCAATTTTTTAGAAGCTTATGTATTCATTTTAGTTATTTGTTTTATACAACTATTTAGCACAATGCATGAACTTAATACATATTAATAATAAAAGAAACCAAATCCTGTAACAAAATGCAAATTCTACTTAATTGCATAAACTTACTGAAACAGCTAGGTTCTAGACATCAACTTTAGGACAACAGAATTTTCTCTAAGTTATTCCAGAAGACTATTTGCATAAAACTTTTGGAAATCTCCACTCCAAATTCTTCCACTGTAAAAGGCACTTAATCTTTTCAATTAGCAACATGCCTAAAAAACACAATTGAATATCTGGGATCATTGGTCTAGACATTTCTACAAACTGAAATCATATAGCTATATAACAATAGAGCAACTGACTGTGACTCAAACTCATCTTGTAACACTAATAATTTGGCATTAAAAAGATATCCAAATAGGGCCATATTTACAGAAAACAGTGTCACTTAGTATAATTTATTAAGAATCTCCATTTAAAATTCTCAGAAAAGTTTAAATTACAAACCCAGAGAACTGATAGTTACTTTTATTAATCTCACCTCTGCTTATGACTGTATTAGAAAACATTAAGAAGAAATTTAGTAAAGTAAAATTTCATTTCAATACCTTTTTATAACCCTCTTCCCAGAATAGGAATAATAATCAGCATTCTCATTTCTAGTGCTTGAAAAACAATGAAGTATGTGCATTAAACAATGAAGTTATATTCATTTTCACCTGCATTGATGCTCCTTCCACTCTTGCCACACAGGCGACCCGATCCAAGAAAGTCACTGCCACAGGCACCGCCACAAAGAAGCCTTTACAAAAGGCCTTGAGGTATCTTTTCACCCACCCTTGTGACTGTGCCATACCTAAAAATACAAAGAAAACAACTATGAAACCAGTCTCAAGAAAGGTGAAAACAAAGACATAAAAACGGTACATGAAAAGTGAGTTAGAGAAGGGCAATCTTGTCTCTTAAACTCATTCCTGGAACCATTAGAATAAATTTGACTTTAAAGTCCCAAAGTGAAATACATGAACTCAGACTCTTTTCCACACTCCAGTCCACTTTGTAACTTCAATGGGAAATTTCTCCCCACAAAACAATAAGTTAGAAAAAAATAAGCATTCCAAAAGTAAATCCTTTTCTGCTGCTATTTAGATGAAGATATGCCTTATACCCCTGATATCTGTTCTCTTCTACAGTAATAAAATTTCAGTGAAACATGTGGCGACCCAGCTGAAGACTGTTTTCCAGCCTCCCTTGCAGCTAAGTGTGACCATGTCACTAGATCTGATCAACGGCATGAGTAGGAAGAATACGTCCAGGTTGCACCCTTAAAAGGAGGATGCCCTCCCTTTTCTTCCCCGTTTTGTAACTGTAACAGTAATAATTTGGTGGTAGAAGCAGGAGTGGCCATCTCAAACTACAAGATAAAAGCTTCAAGTAAAGATGACAAAGCAACAAAATGGAAGGATCCTAGGTCTGCAACACCATGGCAGCCCCATACTATCCTGCAGTACTTACACTTGGACTGTTAAATCAGAGATATATCACTTGCACTGTTTTTGTTTTTAAACAAGGTCTCACTCTGTCACCCAAGCTGGAGCCCAGTGGCATGATTGTAGCTCACAGCAGCCTAAAACTCCTGGGCTCAAGCCATCCACCCTCCATAGCCTCCCAAGTAGCTGAAACTATAGGTGCACACCACTACACCCAGCTAATTATTTTTATTTTTATTTTTGTAGAGTCTGGGTCTTGTTATGTTGTCCAGACTAGTCTGACTCCAGGCCTTAAGCAATCCTCTGGCCTCAGCCTCTCAAAGGGCTGGGATTACAAGTGTGAGCTACCGTGCCCAGCCCTATCATGTTTAAACTGTGCAATATTGGCCTTCACTATAGTAGCCAAACTGATCCTAACTAATACAACAATGAAATCTGTGATAGACCTGACATGCGTTTTGGATATTATTGTGCATTTTTTTATATTAGCCTCATGTCAGAAGTATAGTTTGCAGATATTTTCTTCCATTCTGCAGGTTATCTCTTCATTACGATGACTGTTTCCTTTGCTGCCCAGAAACTTTTTGGTTTGATGCAATCCCCATTATTGTCTGTCTTTTGCTGTTGCCTGTGCTTTTGAAGTCTTATCCAAAAAAACCCTTAACAAGACTTCAGTGTTGTGACGTGTTTCTTCTATGTTTTCTTCTAGTAATTTCACAGTTTTAGTCTTACATTTAAGTGTTTAATCCATTTTGAATTAATTTTTGTATATGGTAAGAGATAAGGGTCTAACTGTATTCTTCTGAGTATGGATATCCAGTGACTGCGATATTTTTAGATCTGTTTACATAAAACTCCAGGTCAAGACCCATTAGTGGGTCATAAAAAAATAATGTAATGATTTTAAACTAGCATTTTTTTAAAAAATGAAATACAATAGACTAGAATTATAGCCTGTTATACATTAAGAATAAGCATTGTTTTGTGAAACTACAAAGGCTTATTTGCTGCAATGTGTATATGTTTGTGTGTGTGTGTGCATAAGAGTGAGTCCTGGGTTGCTACATAAAATGTATTTCTTCATGAGATCATGGCCAAAAATGTTTAAAAGCCATTGTCCTAGATGACTTTGGAGAATTCTTTTTTTCTGACAGGGCCAGGAAAAAAAAAACAAAACACAATGTTATCTGTTCACTTAGAACATAAAAATAAAAATACTCAACTACTAATTCTCTCCAAAATCTTTAATATATCACAAGAAAAAGATGAATAATAATCTAAATTGGCTAAATTTTTTTTTCAGCACTGCCAGCTGTTTATTTTGGACAAAAGAAAAAAAAAGCAGTTGAACTGTTTTATAGCTGGAAGCATGAGCAAGGAGGGTCCCCAGGCAGTAAACTCCCCCTCCATCCCCCACCACAGCCCTGCAGGTGGGCTGAGGGCTAGGGCTGAGCTTCAGGTGGGTTTTCTGTTCCCTGTGCTATCTTGTGCAGGGGTCTCCCTCCTGGGCTCTGGAGCAGCTGCAGGAGGGCCAGGCTGGGTGGGGCTGCTGCAGCTCTTCACTTGGGCAGGATGTCAGAGGACTCGGAGACCAGCTTCTCGTCACAGGTCTCGATCTTCTTCACAATCACAGCCCTGGTGGAGCTGGTGTGGCTGAAGGAGCTTGTGCAGCTGAAGGAGCTGGAGCCCAGGCCATAGGTGAGGCCAGAGCTTGTGAGGCCATAGGCCAAGCTTAGACCATCTGCATAGTCGCTGGTGGTCTTCACATGGATACTCATGTTCTGCATCCCCAACTCCAGCCGGCTCTCCTCGCCCTCCTGCAGCTTCCTGTAGGTGGCAATCTCGATGTCCAGGGCCAGCTTGATGTTCATCAACTCCTGGTACTCATGCAGCTGCCACACCTTGTCCTGCTTGGCCCACTGCAGGGCGGCCTCCAGTTTGAACAGCTTGGCATTGGCATCCTTAATGGCCAGCTCCCCATACTGGCCAGCATTTGCAATGGTGGCCCCCAGGGAAGCCCTCTCTAGCCTTTGAGGCCCTCGATCTCAGCCTGGAGCCAGCTAATGTTCCAGTTCATCTAGGAGATCCCAGTCTTTGTAAGCCACAGGTCATCTCCATGCTTCCCAGCCAGCATCTGCAGATCCTCATACTTGATTTGGTACACGCTCTCAGCCTCAGCCCAGATGCAGTTGGCGAACTCCTCATACTATGCCTTGACCTCAGCGATGATGCTGTCCATGTCCAGGGAGTGGCTGTTGTCCATAGACAGCACCAAAGACGTGTCCGAGATATCGAACTGCAGCTCCCGGATCTTCTCTTCATACAGCTGCCTAAGGATGCTGATCTCGTCAGTCAGTCCCTCCAAGCAAGACTCCAGCTCTACCTTGTTCATGTAAGCTTCATTCACATCCTTCTTGAAGAGGACAAATTCATTCTCCATCTCTGTATGCTTATTGATCTCATTCTCATACTTGTTCTTGAAGTCCTCCACCAGCCCCTGCATGTTGCCAAGCTCCACCTCTAGCTTTAGCTTCTCCAGGCCCAGAGTCTCCAACTGCCACCTAAGGTTGTTGATGTAGCTCTCAAACATGTTGTCCATGTTGCTCTGAGCCATCTGCTGCTGCTACAGGAGGTTCCACTTGGTCTCCAGCATCTTGTTCTGAAGCTCCACAAACCATACCTTGTCTATGAAGGAGGCAAACTTATTGTTGAGGGTCTTGATCTGCTCCTTCTCCTGGGTGCACATGGCCTGGATGTTGGGGTCTACCTCCAGGTTAAAGGGGCTCAGCAGGCTCTGGTTGACCATGACTGCATTGATGCCTCCCATGCCACTGGCCCCAACATAGCCTCTGCCTAGGCTACCCCAGAAGCTGCTGCTGCCCACTCAGAAGAAGCTTGAGGAGATGTGGGCATTAGGTCCACTTATGTAGGAGTGGCTGCTAAAGGCCCGGGGGCCAGAGGTGGACATCCTATGGGACTTCTGGGTCACCCTGATGGACATGGTGGAGGCAGGTAGGCTGAATCAGGTGGAGATTCCAGAAGGAGCAAAGAAGCCGCTTCTTGGTTAAATTGGCTAATTCTTAATGACCTACTGTATCTGACATTCACAAGGGCTATATGTATACACAGTAAGTAATGAAGACCAGTACTTTTTATACTTTTATCAACATATATTGTATATAACATTCACCTAAACCAGTAATCTTTTTATATCTAACCAAAGTAAATGTAACTCAGACTAACTTTAGAAAACAAGCAATTGAGAGGGGACTCAAGATGGCGCTGTGAGAACAACCCAGGATTGGAGCCCGCGTTGAATTCGCAAACGGTGAGTCAGTGCTGCATTTCCAGACTGATCTTTGTTGCCCACAGAACGGGGAAACTCCCAAGTATAAAAAGACACGGGACGCCAGGCAGTAGGTCTGCCTGGCGAAGCTGGCAGCCGGAGCGGCGGCGGCCGGCCCTACCCAGCAATCCCCACAGGGCGCGCTTGTCCGGGTGCCTTGTTGAACCGGCAACCTGAGACTTGAGAGGGCTGGACTTGAGACTGAACGAGACTTGCACAGTAGCCCAGCCCAGGGGATTGCAGGGACAGATCGTTTGGGATACCCAGTGGGACGAACAAAACCGCGATTTCAAACTATCCCGGGCAGACGGTCCGAGACGCTCTGTGGGGGAGGGGCGTCCACCACTACGGAGGCAACCTGCCCCAACTGATATACACGCCCACTGCTGAGGCAGCCAGCCTTTGCCGAGGCAACCCGCCCCAACTGATATACACGCCCACTGCTGACGCAGCCAGCCGTTGCCGAGGCAACCCGTCCCTACTGAGATACACGCCCACTGCTGACGCAGCCTGCCGTTGCTGAGGCAACACGCTACAACGAAGAGACTCCGCCGCAGGGCGTGGTGGAGACCACAGCAGAGCCGGCAGGAACAGCGCGAATCACACAACAGCAGGGCGGAGCCTCGGCAGCCAAACAGTGGCTAGTCTGCCTTTGAGCTGGGCAGGACACCTGATCGGACATCCAAAAATAAAGCCCAAACCCCTCAACACAGAGCATTTGAGAAAAAAAAAAGGGTTGTTTAATGAGCTGTGTTGCAGCAGAATCAAACATAGCAGCCTAACAGCCCTGAATGAACAACAGAGTGCACAGCTCAGCAATTAAACCCCTATAAAGTACAAACTGTCTCCTCAAGCAGCTCCCTGACCCCTCTATATCCAAAAGACTGTCATTAGGCAGGCATCATCCTGGGACAAAGAGAGCAGAAAAAGAAACTGGTAGCATCCCTCGCTGTGCCACGGCTACTAGAGGTGCACCCCAGACAAGCAGGGTCTGGAGCGGACCTCAACAGTCGTACAGCG